AAATGTCCTTGCTGTAAATGCAAGGTAAATTATTCATTCTCTCTCACCCCCCGTTCTCTCTCTCTAGTTCAGTTTTTTCTTTTCATGCTTTAATCGTTTTGACACCAAGCTGTACAAAAGTAATTTAAAATTAATATGACTGACACTTGGTAGATAGCAGGACCGGAGCAGAACTCCACCTCCTGCTCAGGACTGCTGTGCAGGGAATGGGATTGGCTCAGGCAGCTGATGGGGACGAAGGAAAAACACGGCAAACAATTAATTTGCTAATTTAGTTTTCTATTTAATTTGAAACCAGAAAATTGTCAGCCCACAAGTGAGTGGACATAGGGCAGCACTGCGCTCCTGGTAGCAAAGAGGGGACACAGTAGATTAGATGGCAGAACAATTTCTTACACAAATTCCAATGGCAGTTAGGACTTGCCATCGTGTCTTAGCATTTAAGTTCAGGAACACTGCATTTTTGTGCATGCGGTAACTGTCTCTTTGATGGGAAGGAGGCAACACACACGTGTTGCAAAGAATCCCAGAGCCTCTGCCAACGCGGCAGTGCCGCGGCTGTGTGGCAGAGTGCAGGGAGAGCTCCAGAGCTCGTGCAGCGCTGGAGAAGCATAACAAGCTGCATAGAGGCTAATGTGCTCTGATGGAGAAATGCTCTAATTTGATTTCCTCCCTTCAGCTGTGAAGGAGAATATGTAATTTCAGATCTGCTTGGAGTGGGTCTTTTGAGCTCATGTGCCTTTTATGCTTGATTTTAGGCCTGGTTTTGATGCAATCATTGAACTGTGTCTATTTATTTTGTGTGTCCAGTTCCAGATTTCACTCCTGCCTCATCAGAACTGGTTCATCAGGACCAAAAATTTGAGCTGCAGCTCAAATTTCCATCTCACGCATCTGCCTGGATTTGCAGCTGTGCTTGTGGGTGAAGTTGTGAACACATTAAGTAAATTGGTTCATTACCAGCAGAGGGAGCGTGGGTCAGGCTGGGTTCAGCAGGGAGTCAAGAGGCCAAAGCAGGGATCGTCTCCCAAGGAAGTGTTGTTTTGCTTTGCTGCCCAGATGGTTCCCTAAACCCAAATGAACCCAGAGATAATGCACATACAAGGCAAGGGCCACTCCTGGGCTCCTCAGCCCACTGATCTCCTCATCCCCTTCTTAGAAGATGCTCCGTAAGTCAGAGTCACTAGATGGTACTGTTGCTGTTTAATATTTATGCCTCTGTGGACTGGCTGCTTGAGGAACCCACATTTCTGCTAAGAGATGAAGAAAGGCCTCATAACTCATCAGGCAAACACAAGGAAGGAGCTGAGGGAGGCAGGAGCTCAGTTCTGCTCCTGTAATTCCGTGGTTGGAAGAATAGCAAAGAAGCTTCACTCTGGCTGCTCTGCTTCCTGAAGGGGAAATGTAGTCAGGCTGGCCCTGCCCATAAAGGCCCAAAACACAGCTCTTGGAGACCTCCATCTGCAGAAGGTGGAAGCTTTGATGAGAGGATGCCAGCTTAGGGAGCTTAGCCTGCACAGGTTCTCCAAACCCTCAGAAATACCACAGTGACATTCATCACGTGAATCCCAGCATTGCAGGAAGTCAGCAACCTTCCTACAGCAGCCAGTGGCAACAAGCAGGTCATTGTGCTCTGCATAGTCCTAGCCAGAATGTGCTCATCCCAGCCCATGGGGCTGCTACAAGAGGGGAAAGTCAGGCCAATTAAATCAGGCAGCATTAAATTCCTAATTGACATAAATGAGGCAGACAGACAGCTGGGAGGGAAGGGGGCAGGTGTCCTGGATGAGAAAGGGCTGGAATGCACCCTGGAGTCCTGCTGTGCCCTGTAAACATCTCAGGCAGGGGTAGAGCTGTGGTAGAGTTGACGGGGTTGTTCCTAAAAAAACTACAAACAACCCCCAAAGAACTCTCAAAAATGTCTTTTATTGTGTGCGTTGCATAAAAAGTGTTTTTGTTTCATGCAAGTTGCACGTAAGGCCCTGCAGCTGAATGATGGCAAAGTAATTTTAAATCCTCTTTATTTCTTTTTGTACATCTGGGCACTGCCAGACTGGGTATTCCCCCTCTGATTTATCAGGGAGTATCCTTTCTCCTCGAGGAGACCCTTCAAATATGAATTTGTGCTGTACCAAGTTATTGAAATCTGTGCTTCACAGAGGGATGAGGCACAGAGGCTGAGGAGGCACCGCCGCTGCGCTCCATGAAGAAAACCAGAATTACCAGCCCATGGCACATCCTCACGCAGGGCGTTGTCCTGATAGAAACAAACACTGTGCCATTTTCTGGAAAAATCTTACCTGTGCCATGCAGAGAACAGAGGGCACCCGCAGGTATGGAGCACTCAGGGTCTGCCTGTACAAATCGGAGCAGGAAGAAAGTGACATTGAGCAAATAATCGTTAACAAAATCATTCTCCGACGACTTCAGGCAGAGGAGGAAGGGATCTGCCTTGCAGCTCTACAAATGATGCTCACAAATCTGTGCTGGCAGAGGCTCCTGTAAGTGAAGTCTGAACTCAGCCCTTGTTGTAATTCTGTAATTTGAATATCATTTTCACAGACCTTGCAAGATGCAGATGAATGAGAGATTCCTGGCTTTGAGTCAAATGCAACAGTAATTAAATGTTTATAAAACACTTTAAGCTTGTGAAGCGCTATTATCATATACAGGAAAGCAATAGGCAGTAGAAGAGTGGAGCAGGGTTTGAAGCACACAGTGAGCACAACACACTCCTGCAGCTTTCTTCTACAGGTGCTAACAGAGCATCATGAAGAACATTACCAAGCTCCTTTTATTATAACCAGAATGTCAACTAGAATTGCTTTCTACCATATGAACATGACTGCAAAGTTTTTCCCTCTGCAATACATCTCCCTGCCGATGGGCAGCACACAGTTGTCATCTTGGGAAATGAGGAAGCGCTGCCACTTCTGATCTCTCCCATCACGCCGAAGACATTCCACCTGCTACAGGTTTCTAACACCATCTGCTGTTTAAAAATAAGACAGCATTGGAGATACCATCACAGAGTCTGTGCTCTCTTGATAAGCCAGAAGTAACGCCAGCTCATCTAGAAGGGTTGGTGTAATTGGCACATTCCACTTTTGTTCCTTCAGCCCCAAACATATTTCAGCTTGTTCCTAATTAGGAAGTGAATAATTTTTTGGGGACCCAGGGACCAGTGAGCAGCAGCTGAGAGCCAGACCCCACCATTCTCCCACTGCCAAACCTGACACAAAGAATCATAGAAGCATAAAACTGTTTGAGTTGGAAGGGACATTACAAGAACTTACAGATGTTTTTTTAAGAGAGAGACACAGGCTCCACAGGGTGTGGGGAACTCAAAGAAAATCTTTATTTTTTCAAAAATACCAATATTTACCTCTTACTGTCTCATGCTGCTGCTGTGTGATGGAACAAATGCTCCAACCAAGGCTTCTTTTGTTGCTTCCTAACTGAAAGCAATACAATTTTTGTCCCAGGAAAAACAAGAGCACCTTGGACCTCATTAAATGTCCGAATCAAAGTTCTCATCACCAACGCTCTCAGTTTTTGTTGCACAGTGCTTTTTCAAAAAAAAGGAGTTTACTCCAAATGCGCTCTAAGTGGCTTCACTCAGAGTCAATGCAGTGCTTCTATCGCCACAGATTCAGATGAAAAAAAAAACAACACCCCAATTCTTCACCCCAATTCAAGTCTAATACCAAACAGAGAATGCAGCTATGTGACCCTTCTCAAGTTGCTGGCCCATTTACAACATCACCCCCATATTTAACATTTATAACCCCCTTCACATGCATCCTTTTAAGAGTCAGTGGCTCCTTTTGTAAGCGATCGGCTACTTACTCCAGCATTTTACATGCACTTCCCGACAAAAGAGACCTTTTACATGTCAATTTATTTTCAGACAAGCATATCTGAAAGGGAGTTTCTCTCCAGAGCAGAATTAGTATTAATGGCAGGTGTTCCGGCACCGCACAAAGGAGAAAGGCAGCAAGTGAGCTGTGCTGAGTGGTGAGACAGCTTGATGTGTTAATAACCAGAGCAAGAAAACGGAGTGGCAGTAGACCTCCAGCCTCCATAGCGTGAATGAAGGTTTTATTCACTGCCTCCCCCGTACTTGAAAAAGATGTTGATATGTTTAAAATGTTGTCTTTGCTTTCAAAGGGGGATTAAATTGTTGAATATTACATGAAAGCACAGCACATGACCCACATCCTGGCGTGTGCCCACAATCCCAGAGCATCGTGAAGCCCAGCTGGGGGCTGGTTGCACCCTGAGGCCAACCCATCCTGGGCTCATCCCAGCCAGTCAGTGACTGGTGGCAAATCTGCAGGAAGAAGTTAAAACTGCATGAACTGATACAAAGAGGGTGCATGGAGCTGTGCTGCATTTCACTAAGGAAAAAGGATGATTGCTTAGAGAGTTGCCAGACTTCAGTTTCCAAACAGCCCAAGAACTCTTGGTGGGAACAGCTACCAGGCCAAACTGCATTTATTTATGCTCCATTTAATTTGACAGGTCAGAACCACATCATTAAGAGGAAGGCATGGCTGCTTTACACAGTGGGAAGAAGGAAAACAGTCTCTCAGCTGGGTCAGCCCTTCTACAACAGAAAACATTGCTGATTTATGCTCCCAAATGGGAAAGCTCAGCCTTTCCTACACGGAAGCTGCATCTACACAGAGAGAGATGCTCACTGCTATCTCCAGGCCGCTTGGCTGCAGGTAAACACAGTGCCTGGGCACAGCTGAATAATTCCAGGTAGACTCCATGATTAGAAGCTGGATACCAGATTTCAGCTTGCCAAAGCTTTCCTACGGCCCTATGGGACAGCAGGTTGAAGGAGCCCCACTTTCACTCCTTGTAATGTGACCTCCATTCAAATGATAGCAATTAATCCCTCTATATCCTGGGAAAGGTTTAATGCTGTCAGAGAAAACCACGAAGGCAGCAAGAGGCTGCCTGGTCACACAGATTCCCACAGCTCTCATACACAGAGATCAACACGTCCTTTTTTATTGAGCACTGGAATTAAAAAAGTAACAGCACTTGGTTGATTGGGAACTAATAATCAAAACTTGCCCATAGCAGAAATTTGCACAAGGACTTTTGCTGACTTCAGTCACACCCTCGTGCATCCGCAGCCTCTGCGATTCTGATCTGCCAGCACTGGGGCAGCTCCAGCACTGGCCTGCAGGTGAGAGTGGGTCTGGGATTTACTTCTAGCACAGTTCACCTCAAAGCGTTGGTTTCGATTAACACTAAAATGCCCTGAGAGAAGGATTTCCCCCCACAGCCCACATCCTGCCACCCTTCCTGTTGATTTCTGCCTTGTCCTAACTAGGTCTCATTATTTCCCACTGCAAAGTGGTGTAATACACCTGAGAGGAGGTGGCCTGATATGCAGCCCTGCTACAGTACTGCTGGTTTGCCTGTCACAGGGCAAATTACACAGCTCCGTAGATCTGTGTGCCCTGGTGGCCAAAGAAGGCCAATGGTAACCTGGCGTGAATTTAAAAAAGCGTGACTAGCAGGACGAGGGAGGTGATCCTGCCCCTCTGCTCTGTCCTGGAGAGGCAACATCTGGAATACCACGACCAGTTCTGGGCTCCAGGCCCTTAATCATCTTTGTGGCCCTCTGCTGGACTCTCTCTAGATGATCCCTACCTTATTTGAAATATCGTAGCTACAACAAATATCTAGCCCTACATGGGAAAGGGTGAATCAGAGCTCCTTTTTAGTGCCACTTGACATCAGTTATACATTCTAATTCTCATATACACAGATGGATGTCTTTAAAAATCAACAATTTACACTTCAAAAAAGTTTTACAGTGAAGTTCTCTCAGCAAAGATCAGTCCACACAAGGAGGAGCCAGTCTACTGCAGGCAGAAGGCACTTGGCCTTGACGTGGATTTGAGAACAAGTCCTCAAGGGGCAGGCACCAACTGCCCTATGTCCTGCCACACCTCAGTAGTTGTGCAAAGCCTGGTGTAACCACCCCACACTACCCCATCCTCACAGGGTGGTGGAGGGGAGCTTTTTCACCCGCCGCTGCGCCAGGATGGAAGACTCGATGGGCTTCAGCTGGGGGCTCGGCTTAGAGCTGTTCAGTGCAGAGTATGTGGCAGCCATTGCTCCCTTGGAGAGAAGACACAAGAGTGATCACTCAGGTGGGGGAGATGCTTTACAAGGGGAGGGAGCAGAGCAGCCATAAACAAAGCCAGGACCATCTTGTTTCTTTTCTTTAAATCTCCATCCCTCATTGACATGCCACTCATAGAATGATAGAATCAGTGAGATTTGGAAAAGACCTCTAGATCCCCAAGTCCAACCCCAGCCCATTCCCACCATGCCCACTGACCATGTCCGTTAGTGCCACATCTCCATGTTTTCCAAACACCTTTAGGGATGATGACTCCACCACCTCCCTGGGCAGCTTCTTCCAATGTATTACCACTCTTTCTGACATTTTTCCAAATATTAAATCTGATCCTCTTCTGGAACACCTTGAAGCCATCACCTCTCATCCTATCTCTGCTACCTGATAGCAGAGGTTGACTCCCATCTCATTACAACCTCCTTTCAGGGAATTGTAGAGTGATGTCGTCTCCCTGAGCCTCCTCTTCTCCAGATAGAACCATCCCAGTTCCTTCAGCTGCTCTCTATAGCACTGTGCTCCTGATCCCTCACAAATCCATTTCCTTCTCTGGACATGCTCCGGGGCCTTGATGTCTTTCCTGTAAAGGGGGCCCAAAACTGAACACAGCACTTGGGGTGCTGCGTCACCAACATCGAGTACAGAGGGACGATCAACCCCTGCTCTTTCTGGCTGCACTACTGCTGACACAGCCAAGATGCCATTGGCCTTCTTGACCACCTGGGCACTCCACTGGCTCATAGTTGACACTTGGCTGAACAGCACCCCCAGGTCCTTTTCCTCCTTGCAACTCCCTGCCATGCTGCTCCAAGCCTGTAGCACTGGCATGGAGTTGCTGCGACCAAAGTCTTGCTGAACTTCATCCCATTGGCCTCAGCTCATGAAGGAGCCTGTCCGGTCCGTCTGTAGAGCCTTCCTACCCTCAGGCAGATTAACACTTTGTCCTAACTTGGTGCCATCTTCAAAATTCCAGAGGGTGCACTCAATCCCCTCATCCAGATCATCATGAAAGATATTAAACTGGGCTGGCCCCAGCACCAACCCCTGGGGAACATCATCTGTAACTGCTGCCAGCTGGATCTAACTCCATTCACCATCACTCTCTGGGCCTAGCTGTCCAGTCAGTTCTTCAAAGAACCCTTGTAAGCTTTCCTGCCTCAAACACTGGCATTGCCTCCCCAGCCCACAGCTCTACAACCTTCCAGTCTGTTCTGCCCACACCAGGACGACTGCTTTCCAAAGAGCTCAGGGACAAGGAACCTGGCCCACTCTGTACCTTTACCAGCTGGACATCCTGGTGATTCAGCTGGCTCTGGGGTAAGCTGTCCTTCTGTGTTATCCATGGGTGCTGCAGGACCTGCTTGGCTGTCAGGCGCTGGTGAGGATCTACATGAAGCATCTTTGATACCAGGTCCTAAGGGAATCATTTGGAAAGTCAGACATCTGAAGACTTCATACTTTAAAAGAAAAAATGCCGCCCACCTGTTCCCATATTGAGATTTCAGTTCAGAAGCCAAGTGTCAGGACCCCAGATATGAAGCTCCTTTTGTATAAAATATGTTTTCAGTGGGCCTGGGAGGTATAACACAGCAACAAACCCAGTGTGAGTCAGGCACGAGGTTGTTGCTGCATGCAAATTTTCACAGCCTGAGCTAGAACAAAGCAGGCAAAGGCACACTGCTGAGCTGCTCATGAGGAAGAAGCCACTCTACTGCTTTTATCCACTCCCCTCTACCCTCCCCCCCAACCTGCTCTGAACTTGCATCATATTTGCCTGAGCCCACACTGTAATACAATGCAGACAGACTCCACATCGTGCCTTGGCCATGTCAGAAACAGTGTCCCAGTTGCCTCCATTGACAGAGAACTTTCCCCCGCCTATTCGAGTCAGGATCTCTTCTGGAGTGTCACTGGGTCCGTTTGCGAATGGAGTACAGCTGAGGAGAGATGAGAGCAAGAACGATGTTAACTATCCCGTATCCAGGCCAGGGAGAGGTTCTGGGCAGCAAGAAGCCATGAGGAGAGGCACTTACCCTGCCAGCATAGTATAAAGGAGAACTCCCAGGCTCCAGATGTCACAGCCCTCATCGTAACCCTGTCGCTTCAGTACCTGGAATAAGCAAAGAAGAAATATGTTTGGTTCTGGTTGCTGAGCTTGTTTCAGCTTGCGAAGAGCAGCATAAGCCCCCTGTGCAGGCTGGGTGCAAAGCTGCTAAAGCCCCACTGAACAGCAAAGGCATGGACTAAATGTCAGCATTCATATTAGACTTCAGTTTCACAGAACAGAGTAACCCTCCCAGCTCTTCAAAATGACAAGTAAGAAAGAAGCTGTGTTCCAAAGTGATGACACTGCATATATGCTCCACCGCTTTCCATCTCTTTTCCTTTCTTCCACACCAAGATAGCTGGAGGGAAAGTAATCCCACTCCTTTTAACAGGTCAGTTAATCAGGAAGAGAAGCAGCCTATGAAATCATTGGGATTTTAGCATCTCATTTCCCTACGCAGAGCCCCAGCAATATGGACAGCACAAGCTGGAGGACTGCACTGGGGATCCCGTATTTATTCTGTACTGTAGCTATTGTTATTTTTTTAATTAACAAATCCCAGACAAAATATGCCGGAACAGGCACAATTAGACCAATCCGTGCAGAATTAGAACACAGCCTGGGGGAGAGGAATGACAGCTACTGAAGCCTCAAGTCAGCAAGGTGCTTACCTCAGGTGCCACAAAGTTTGCAGTATAGCAAGGAGTCATGAGAAGACCATTCTCAGCTCTCAGCTGCTTGGCAAAGCCAAAGTCACATATACGAATGCTTTCTGGGTTTCCTGACTCATCCACATAGAGAATATTGCTGGGTTTCAAGTCCCTGTGAACTACCTGCAGAACAAAGGCAATGCTACATTCATGACCCAAGAAGGACTGAAGCTGCATCAAGATCCTCAGCCCCTGCTCTGGCCCCCTATCTGCCTTGCCAAAACATCAACACGAGGCATAACATCAATACAAAGCACCCAGGGAAGCAGACGTAACCATACTCACCCCTTGAGAATGCAGATATTCCACCGTTTTGCAGATCGTGTGTAGGACTGAACTGGCCTCCCTCTCTGAGAAGAACTTCTGTCTCAGGATTTTATCTAGCAGCTCCCCTCCTCTCATCAGTTCTGTCACCAGATACACGTACTTCCCATCATCATAAACCTACCAAAGCAAATGTGGAGGGGGTTAATTAAAAACTGCTTCCTGGGCTTCCCCGTTGTATTTCTACCACCAAGAAGAAAGAAGTCAACAACAGAGAGGTGGTACTGACTGGATGCTTCCCCACCCCAGAGTGATCTGATGAGCAGTGCCATTGGGGTACCCATGCTAGAGTGGCTTTCTTACCCCAATGTACATGAGAAATCATTCAAGGTACACTCACATCTTTCAAGGTAATGATGTTTGGATGTTGCCCGTATCGCAGGAGGATCTCAATTTCCTCAGAAGGGTCCCGTTTGCTCTTGTCAATAACCTGCCGGGGTACGAGTAAGGGTTATTCACAGCTAGATGGGACAGTGGCTAGGACAAAGCAAACAAGCTGAAGGCTTCATCACAGAAGCACAGAATGGTTGAGTTGGAAGGGAGACCTTAAAGACCATTGTCTTAGTTTCAGCTGGGACAGAATTGTTTTCTTCAGAGTAGCTGATATGATGCTATGTTTTGGTTCTAAGAGAAAAACAATGTTGATAACACACCAATGTTTACAGTTGTTGGTGAGCAGTATTGTATTGCCAAGGCCATTCCAGTTTCTCGGAGAAGGGATGATGAGGCCCAAGGAGCTGGAAAGGGACAGAATCAGGCCTTAATCAGCTGTCTTAAACTGGCCAAAGGGATATTTCATACCATCATGTGAATGAGAGTTTTGAAGGGAGTGGGAGTTCATCTTGCTCTGTTGCACTCACTGAGTGGCAAGCTGGGCATCAGTTGGTAGGTTGTGAGCAATTGCTTGTGCATCACATGCTACATATATTTATACACACACACACACATATATATTATCCTTCTCTCTATCTTAGTAAATCACTTCATCTCAACTCATGAGTTCTACTTTGGTGGGGTTTTTTTCCAGTTCTCTCTCCATCCCACGGGGAAGGGGGCCAGTAAGCAACAGATTGTGCGGTGCACAGCCACCTGCTGGGATAAATCGTAACAACCATCCAGTTCCAACCTCTGCTGTGGGCTTGCCCCCCATCCAGTAAGGCCCCAACCAGCCTGGCTTTGGGCAGCTCTCGGGATGGGGCATCCACAGCTCCTCTGAGCAGCTTGTGCCAGTGCACTGCAGACATACTGTGCTATATCCATTCCCTGTCTTTTGCCCCAAAATTGTGTAATTGTATAAGTCCCACAAAATCAGGGAAAATGATTTCATTCCTTGCTACTGATTTGATCATTACAGGGATGAACAGAAATCTAACAAGGGAGATCAGACTGAACTCATCATCTCAGACCTTGACTGCATACTCCATGTTGGTTGCTTTGTGAATGCACCGTTTGCACACAGAGTAGGAGCCCACACCAATCGCCTCCTTCACCACGTAGCCATCGCTGAACTGGATGTTCTTTCCATGCAGCTGCTGCAACAAGAGAGCAGGGAGCAAATGAGCTGGGAGGGTTCAGGGAATGCTTTGTGCAACGTGATAAGTTAACTGCGACGCCAAGTGAAGTGACAGACTGCTGTCTGCTACATCCCACAGCCTCTCCTTCCAGCTGGGGAGAGAGAGGAAAGGAGAACATGGCAAATACAGGTCAGTAGGCTAACACTATCTGCATGCAGCACACTGCATTCCTGCAGCACCTTTCATTGACACAGCCTGAGTCCACATGGCAAGAAGGAGGCAAACACTCAGTGTGCCCTGCTGACCTCTGCACGTGACAGTCAGTAGAAACAACAGAACATTAGGGTGCAAGAATTCAAACCAGAGTATCTTTCCTTTAGCTCCTGCAGACCCACTGTGGAGTTACTGCAGTCTCAGAGCAGCTGTTCTTCTGTTCCCATGTCTCACCTGCACCACGGAATGCAGAGGGGGCTGTGCAGGTTTCACCTTGCTGTCTTCCATCAGTCCGGTGGCCACAAAGCTGAAGCCGCGGAAGAGCTGATGTGCACCTGCACTGGGAGGGATGCCTGGGGAATCTGCAACAGGAGTTGAAGGAAAACTTGAAAAGGAGTAGCAGCAGAAGCAGAAGCCTTCCCCTCGTGGCTGTGGCTCAGACAAGAGCAATATCATGTAGCACCGAACTCCCAATAACATCCTGCATATGGCTGGGACTCCTTCCTGAAGCAGCTAGGAGGAGGCAAACCTTGCTCTGATGGCACAGGCAAGCCATTATTAAGCTGTATTATTTCACACAGGCTTCAGCTGAATTCATAAATTCATACCAACCTTTCGGTGTACGCGATGTAAATTCTGTGTCAAAATAAAAGGTGTCATCAGGCTGGCCTACAGCAGGCTTGAAGGGAGGCTTGATTTCTCTTCGGTACAGCTTCTGCAAAATATAGGTAGCATGGAAGTGGTGTGATAGTTGACCATGCTCAGAAGGGTGCTAATAACTGCTAGGAATGAGAGGCTGGGAAGAAAGTTTACAACACTAGAAACAGTGTTGAGACTGCAACTCAGCAGTGGGAGGGATGGCCTCCTGGCCAGGAGAGTACCTTTCGGTCAGTTGGTGGAGAAATTCTGTAAGTTTCTACCATATATCATACATTAATGAAGAAAAAAAGAGAGTCTGTGGAGTACAATGCAGCTCCTTGCCAGAAATGCCTCCCTGAGCCCTTTCCTACTCTGTGCAAGGCAATCCTTGTGCCAAAACCCAATTAAAACCTGCACCTTAATTCTGAGAGATCAAACCAGGATGAGGTCATAGACAACTCAGTATGAAACAGTTACTTGCATGACAAACAGCACTTTAGTTTCGGGAAGGATAATTAGAAAAGATGGAAACATGGGTTGGTAGCACTCCCACAGCTGGTCAGCCTGCAAGCGTTACCACTGCGGTCAGCAGAGCTGCATCACTGTGCTAAATGGGGTGAAATTTGCTTTTGTGTTTCTGATACTCACATTCCAGTCAATAGTAGAGTAGAACGGATGACGCTTTATCTCTTCTGCCCCATCTGGACCAGAACCTGAAAGATGCACCCACAGAGTGCTTAACAATTAATCAGGATCACCAACAAAGCGAAGGCTACCACAAAGCATGCAACATAATCAGGTATTACAGAGAGCCTATTAACTTAGCACAAGTGCCAGCATGCTGCCAACCCACTGCGATGTGAGAGGCACAGCTACAGCACCAGGTGGATTCAGAAACAAAAAATGCCTTACCTAATCTGTTGGCTGGGTTCCTTTTGAAGAGGGCTCGCAGGAGGCTCTGTGCCTCAGCGCTCAGGAACTGAGGCATGCCCAGTTTTGCTCTAGAGAAGAAGTTATGCAATCAATTGCATATAGGTATAAAGAAGCCAACCCACAAGCAGCACCTCCACCTCTGAAAGTACAACAATCTGTTTGGCATTTTGTACTGAACCCTTCAAACTGAGTGTTGATACGAATCTACCTTCCAAGTAATCCCATTACATTGTGAACACCAATTGCAGCATGCTTAGAGAAGGAGCAGCAGGCTTGTCTCTGTACACACATCACATCTCCTCTTACTTAAGGATGAGGGTCATCGTTTCCTTGCGGTCCTTCCCCTGGAAAGGCAGTGAGCCAGTGAGCATCTCAAACTGTGAGGGAGAGAGAACAAGGGGAGGTCACATATACGAGCAAGTCTGAGGACTGCACAGATCTCATTACATCTTGATTTGGGAATTCTCCACAGCTAGCAGAAGCCTTGCAAGCAATCAAAAGCCTGGCTCCGGAAAAAGAGAGCTGGCATCACATTCTCAGAAGGGAGCTTTGTATCACAGTGTAATGAGGATGTGTTCCAGCAGCGCCTGCTCCTGCCATAGCCCTTGGATCCAGCAGCTGCCAGATGGTGGCACCAGATCTGCACAGCAACCAACAGCCTGCTCCAGGGCCGACACTGGCACCAGCACCTCTGCTGGATGCAGAGTCACCTAATGGTATTTCATAGCTACACCCTGAGCAACTGCTGAGGTTTCCAAGCCCACCAGTTACGCACCATCAGCACCCCATAGGACCACCAGTCTGCGCTGTGGGAGTGGCCCTGACGGTTCACAACCTCTGGGGCCATATATTCCACTGTCCCGCAGAAGGAGTAGGCTTTCTTTTCATGGTCTATTGCCTCCTTACTCAAGCCAAAATCTATGAAAGAGAAAAAGCATCAGCATGTGCCCACCTGCTCTTCACAATGGCCCAGAGCAGGGAGGTCTGAGAGAAGCTCCATGTTTCAAGAACCAAGGTTCTTATGGAGCACCTCACCTGTGAGTTTGATGTGTCCTTCTTCATCCAGGAGAATGCTACAGCAAGGAAGAAAAATACAAGTTATTAGTGGCAAGAAAGGCTGGTGAGAACCAGTGGGTGTCTCAGAGCGGTCAGAGGTGCTCCAGAACTCCAGAGGAGGAACGTATCCATCCTTCCAACCCCTGTATTTCAAGCTCCATCACCATAAATGGGGTAAAGCAACCCCCTTCTGTACACACTGAACTTCACATTGAACCAATGAGCCACACAGATTACATCAACTTTGATCCCTCGCATGTCTCAGGTAGGAATAACCCAGTCGTGCAGCTGCTGTGTCTCCTCAGAGGCCTTTTTCCTCTGAAGGCTCTCAGTTGCTTAAAGCTGGAGCCCAGCACTGGCTGAGAATTAATGCTCAGACATGGTACACACATGCTGCCTCCACAGAGCTCCTGGCTCTAACTGCTGGTGTGAGGAGCAAGAGCCTTACTGATCTGCCCTGCTGCCTTCCATTTGCTTGGCCCAAGGCATTGTTTTGTGGAAGAAGGTTGTGCTGTGCTCTGACTGCAGGCTGAGGACTGAACGCAGACCTGTACCACACGTACTTCTCTGGTTTGAGGTCTCTGTATATGATTCCTAGGCTGTGCAAATGGTCAAGTCCCAGAGCAAGCTCTGCTAGGTAAAACTTCACGTCCTCCTCTGTGAACATGACCTGCAGGAAGAGACGGGGGTTATAATCCTCGGAGCATGACAAGCAACACCCTTCACACTCATGTTGCTCACTCGTGCCATTTTAAAACTAAGCTTCCCAGGCTTTGCCAGGGGACAGGGCTCCTGACATTCCCTCCTTTGGGCAGCAAGTTGGAAGCTCCTTCCAACTCTGTCAAGGACTTTCTGAGGGTCAGTTCTTCCTCCAGGCAATTAACACACAAACTGAGAACCTCAGCAACCCACCAAGATGCCAAAGTATACCCACCTCTTTGGAAAGCCGAGTGAAAAGGTCACCTCCTCGGAGGAAATCCAAGATGAGATACAGCTTCCCCTCTGTCTGGAATGCTGAAACACAAGCCAGAGCAGGAATCAGACCCCTCCACTGAGGGGAAAGCTTGATGGTGTGACATTAATCGCTTAAATCCCAATGGCTTCAGTTGTGTAAATGCCCTGAGTTGTTACTAGGTTAAATACAAGTAGGGTAACTATTTGAGGTAGATCAGATCTCCCAGCCATGATACTGAAAAGGATGCAATCCCCTGGCGCTGCAGAAAAGCATCATTTTATGTGGGATTTGTTCCCTTTCAGCCACTGATGCCCTGCTGGAGGGGCTGTTTCTCAAGCAATATACTGGGGGCAGAAGCTGTCCTCAACTCCCTCAGAGTCAGATGAGATGCCCTCATGGCATCCTGCCATGCTCTGACTTGACCAGTTAACTCTGCTTTCTCCTGAAGTAATGAGTGCCCCATTCAAGGGTGAACACAAGACCAAAGGCCTTTCCAGGAAAGGATTTGTCTTAAGGGGATTGTGAAGGCTCCAGCACAGCACAGCACAGCCACCGAGGGACATGGACTGACATACAACCTGCTGGGGACACTGGCAGGCACCCCTGTCCCAGCCAGCCCCGCACTCACCGTAGTGCAGCTTCACCACGAAGGGATGGTTTACATCAGCTAGGATGTCCCTTTCTATCTTTGTTCTTACACGATCACGCACTGTGCAAAGAGAGAGGAACAGTTCAGACGCTGGAGAAAGCAAAGAGCCCTGATGTCAGCCTCACGCCTAACCCTAAGCATTCTGGGATCAGCAGCTGGAGACAGATCTTTCCAATCTCCATCACCCCAGGGCCAGCAGTGACTGGTGGTGACATTTTCCCAGTGCAATTTCCAATGGAGCAACACGACTCTGCAGTAAGGCTCCCCTACCTTTCAGTGTTGCCTTTTTGAGCACTTTCATGGCATAGAGGTGGTTGCTGTCTGGTGGTGTTATTTTTCTCACCAAGAAAACCTGGGGCAGAAGAACACATGGTTTTAGACAGCTTCAAAATCCTCTATTCATTGCAACAAAGCTGTTGCTGCACTTACACAGCACCACTGCTGCACTAGCCCTTGCTGTGCTGGTGGCTGACTGATGTGAAGTTGAAGTTTTAACATGAGAGCAGATGGTCTGCAAGAGACCTGGGTTATTTGCACTTTGAAACAGATACAAATTACAAGCTACTTCCTTCCCCCTTCGCAGAAGGGAAACAGCAAATGGGCCAAACCGAGTCCCTGGCACACAGCATCACCGTGAGATGAGAGGCATGCCCCAGCCCTGTGCCCCACACAGCACTGCACTGCACTCTTCTTTCCTCCTGACCAGCTGCATAAAGACCCCCAGGCAGTGCTGACACACAGACTTTGATGAGAGGCATTTCCACAGCTGCTCTTCAAATTAGAAGCAGCCAGTTGCTAAGTGAGCGTATCAGATTCTCACCGTCTGCGATCTGGCGAGAATCAAGAAAGAGGTTATGCTGGGGACAGTCCCTTTGTCAGCTCTTCTTTCAACACCACTTATCTGTGTGACACACAGGAAGGATTGAGCTCACCTTGCCAAAAGAGCCCTGTCCCAGAACCTTCAGAAGCTCAAACTGAGAAGGGTCAGCCTTCTCAGAGCCCTCCTTCACATGGTGCGTGATGTTGATTTCCTTCACAACACCCTCGCCCTGCAAAAGAGGAGACACGGTTGGCTGTGAATATACTAAACAAGGAGAAAAAGGTCTAATTGAGTCAAGGAAGAAGGATTGCAGCTTCAGACTCACAGGAACCACATCTGAGAGAGCCGTAAGGGCTGGTCACATCTATCTCCTGGCTTCAACATCCGGAACAAAGCAGCCCCCAGTGGGCTTCCACCAGGCAGCACCATTACAACCCCACACTCTCCCCAGCACCAGAGGTGTTGCATTCTTTTGTCCTGCATTTTAGATGAGTGCTTGAAAGCACCTTCCTTTTTAAGGCACTGGTGGCAAAAACAGGAGTGTTTATGCCACTAAAAATCCCACAACACAAAAATATGGTGGTGTTGTCAAAACATGGCCAGGGCTGGCAAAAATCAGACATGTTGGAGCCCATCTGCTCGGCAATCTGAGCAACTCTGCAACATAAGCCTTGGTGCATCTTCAGCACATACAGATGATGCTTTTAACAGACTCAAGCCTTCAGAAGGATTGAGGGGAAGCCAAGGTCTCTGGCACATGTTTTGTTTAAAACACATTCTTTTATTAGTTACTAGTTAGATTTCCCCCTTGCCGAGCAGGGGGAAAATCAGAGCTTGTTTTCCAGAGCTACTCAGATACTCACTCCGGAACCCACCTAATCAAAGCTTTTAGAAAACAACAGGAACTGAGCTGCAGACTCTGCCTCCCGCACACACTGAGCTCCCACCCTCGCTCCTCCTCGCAGAGCACACGGATGTGGTTGTTGCCTGCAGCACAACATTGAGCACCCTTCCTTTCCCACTCCTGTGCTTGGCTTTTCACTACGTAAGGTAGGGCTTTGCTCCGTGTCTGTTGGTAGCTTTGCTCTCTCGGGATCCTGCGACATCCAGATACTCAGATCTGGCAGAGAGACCCATGCACAATGCAGTCTGAGCGCATGGAGAGGGTGATGAGACAGAAGCTCCCCCTGTGTCACAGAATCATGGAGCCATTGAAGGTTGGAAAAGACCTCTTAAGATCATCTAGTCAAAGTGTCAAGCCACCCCCCCCATCCCCACTTGTAGAACCATAAACGTTGGAAAAGACCTCTAAGATCATCGTGTCCAACCATCAACTCATCTCCTCCATGCCCACTAAGCAAATCTCAGTGAGCACAGCAAAGGAAGATATTACAACCTCTATGACAACAAGGTCTCACATTCCATGTGATCTCTCAGCTTCATTCAGCCATCTTACACCTCCAGTTTTGTTTGGAGGCTCTGCCCATGGCGAACAGCTGTTGGTCAGGAACAGCTTCCCAACTCCAGCCAACAGTTGGCCTATAGGTCTCCATGGCCTCCAGGTGCCAATGTGGGCTGTGTGAGATTACATGAACCGTTAGGCACAGTAAAACAAACACCCTGCAGGCTGGCTGTGTCACAACGGGGCTGTCTGCAGGCTGCTGGGCTCCTTCCCTCCCTCCTGCCATCTTCATGAAAACTCAAGAGAGAAAACAAACCTACATGTCACTGCCATGTATTTCACCCTGCAGCTTCACACACTTTTGCAGAGAGGAACATTCAAAATGAACACTATGTCTACCTCCAAGACACCTCCTCATACCACAGCTGTGGGAACTCTTTGCCTTGGCCAATAGCAAGACCCACCGTGTTGAGCTGCAAAGGGTCTCCGCAGCCCAACCTGCAGCTCTGAGACCAAGTCCTACACCACGACACATCTCCAGCACAACAGCCCCCACGTGCCACTGAGCCTTCACTGCACCACGATGAGTTTCTTACAACGGCACCACAAAGCAAACCACCCCACAAGGCACAAAGACAAAAGCAAACCAGAATATTCATCTAAAGCATTGACCCACCAGGATGAGCAGCAGGCAACACAACCTACATACTGACCGGGCTGGGGAGCGGGCTGGGGGCTGGCAGCTGCAGGCTGCAGGGCTTCGCTCGGTGCTTCCTGTGCAGCCACAGTGTGAGGAAGGCGCAGATGCGGGGCAGCTTGGGGTCCCTCTCCATTCTCCCATCCCGCTCAACATTGCAGGGTCCCAGTGACCACCTCAGGGAGCCCCTGGAGCTGGGGAGGCTCTGGCATGGGCACACAGACACCAACACACCGCCACGCTGGAGGAGATGCGGGTGATTAAAGCCCGCTGGCAGATGTGTAGCAGAGATGAGCGATTTGGTCACACGGAGGCAGGTTCATGCTCCTTGACGGCACTTGTGGTTGGGGCTTTTTTTTTGTTGTTGCTGTTTTGCTTTCAAAAAAAATCTCACAGCTCCGTGTTCACATTCGATTTCCCTTCCCTGGCTCAGAAAAGATGCTCTCTGACAGAAAACGTGCATGGTGTAGGTCAAAGTCTGACTTCCATCTAGCACCATGTGCCATGCTCACACTGTGGGTATTTCCACAACAGTAGAATATGCTGATAAGCCTCTGTCTCTTTTAAAAGGAAGAGAAAAATGAATGAACCCCCACACAGAAGTCTGGCAGCACTTCTGTTGGCTCTCCCACAGGGATGATGGTCACCCTCAGTGAGATGTGGTGGGTGCCAATTCCATGGTGAACCTTAGAATCATAGAATCATAGAATCACCAAGGTTGGAAAAGACCTAAAAGATCATCCAGTCCAACCGTTCACCTATTCCCAATAGCTCCCACTAAACCATGTCCCTCAACACAACATCCAGCCTTTCCTTGAACACCCCCAGGCTCGGTGACTCCACCACCTCCCTGGGCAGTCCATTCCAGTGCCTGACCACCCTTTCTGAAAAGTAATACTTCCTAATGTCCAGCCTGAATCTCCCCTGCCGTAGCTTGAAACCATTCCCTCTGGTCCTATCACCAACCTTCTGCCACCATCGGGGTTTACACCTACCCCTTCATTTTTATTTCAAACCCAATCCTTTTTGCTTCATTCCCCCTCCAAACCCATATTTTCCTTTGACCTTTTCATGGAGTCTGGACTGATGTCTAATGCAGCAGCACCCTCTGAGTGTAGGTAAGAAAGAAAGCCCTTGAGATGGGTACAGTGACGCCCACACATCTTTGCAACTAGAAATAACCCTGTGCTGGTGTTGACTTCTGAATTTCTGCAGAACACAGTCTGACAAGGGGACTCAGAGAGCCCATTTATGATAGTCCTGCCTCTTCCATCCCTGTACCATGCTCTTTGATAACCAGTAATGAAAGAATCAAATGACTGAACGCCAGCAAGCCAGCCGGTGCCAGCTCTGCAGGGAGAGCCTCAGCACCTGGTGATGATCCCAAAGCAAGGGGCTGGGAGCACAGAGCAGCATGGGACAGCACTGCACAGTCGCTCCACGGTTCTCTCCAGAGCCTCAGCTCATTCTGACACCTCCTTTGCTCTGCAGGGATGCAGATGAGCATCACCACATGAGCTGCAGTAACAGCTCTCTGCAGATGCGCCTGGAGCTATTTAGATCTGATGAATTTTGTTCTGACCACCACAACGTTAAGTGTTGAGTTACCACCACTCAGCTCCCTGAAGAAGCCACCTTGTGTCCACACAGCTCAACAGCAGAGCCCTGCAAGCCAACAAGATCAGAATGTGGCAGGAGACAAGAACAACAGCACATAAAGGGGTTTGGTGTGGGCAGGAAGGAGGAGGAGGATGAAGTCAAGTCTGGAATGTCACATGAGCAAGTGACTAAGTGCCGCTTACTCCATGAGCACTTCCACTGAGCGGAGACTGGTCTGCAGGTAAATCTGCAAGGCAGGCATGGTGCTGGGGTCCCTGCAAGCAACAATTCCCCCTCACACATGTTACCACAGGACAAATGCCATTAAGTGCACCACTCTCCCAGAGGCTCTCTTACCTTGTCTGCAGGGTCCACCAGATCTTTCTCTACCCAAGTGATGTCTGACTTTGCCTGCAGAACAATAAATAAGTGTCAGCACAAAGGGTCTGCAATACTCTGCTAAAGCTTTCCCAGCAAACTTGCTTAGGCAGAGGGTGAGCTGCTTGCAGCCCCTGGTCACGTCCCACTGCACGCCCTGATCTGGTGGTGGTTCCAGGAGAGCAGGAGGAGCCAGCTGCTGTTGGAGCCTTGGACAGACTCCGACAGGCAGTGGAGAAGGACGCACAGTGCTGGCAATGGGATCCGTGCTCCCCGCGATCCAAAGCACTGCTGCCAAAGAGGGAGGCCCAGCACTCCTGAAGCAGCTGTAGGAACACGTCCAAACACTGAACCTCACTGCACCCCTCCAGGGCAGGGCAGGGCAAGACCAACGCAGGCCTGAGCAGCAGCAGAGATATTGGTGTACACTTTGGGACCAGATGCAATGCTACAAAACCTTACGGTGAGACTAAGGAAAGTTTAAAGGGAGTTTAAAAAATAAGTGCTTCTCAGCTCGGATACGGCTCTTTCTCCTCGGAGGAACTCAGACAGGGAAGAAGGTTTGGATGGACAGAGCTTAGATCCTGAAGCCTGCTATGTTTTTATGAGTACACGTAGATATGCTATCACACGGGTGCTCTTTGGTTTGGTTTTGAGAGAATAAGCTGAAGCTCAGATAGAAAAAAACACTCAAAAAAAATCAGATCAGAATAATCCAAACATATTTGCAATGTTTCCCCCAGGGTGCAAGCCTTCAGCCCACAGGTCTGTGCAGGAGAGTCCTGAGCTCCTGCTGCTCTTCCAGCAAGTCAGAAAGCAGCACAGGAGCACCAGTGGGGAGAGGAAAGGTGAACCCCAAGGGAAAGGAGGTGCAGCAAAGCTGCAGATCAGCGCTCAGAACTGACAGATTTCAAGTCCGGAAGGACTGCATCACATCAGAGGGGCCCTTTGTTCACCTCTTCCCCTTCCTCCCTAGCTGCATCTCCCTGGGGGTGTGAGGAAGGGCTGTCCCACCCCGACACCTTCCGCCAGGCATGAACCCATTGCACAAGCACAGGTCCTGTGGTCCAACCCCATCAGCACAACAGCAGCCATCTCCTGCCCGCAGCCCCAGGGGAGGCCATCTTGCAAATTCCTGCACGCTGGGGAAATCACCTCCGCACTCCTGGAAAAGAAAAGCGCAGCCATGCGTGCCCGGCAGCTCTGAGCACAGCAAGTTGCAGAAGTGGGTGCAGGAGATGACTTCTGGTGAACTTCTCAGCACAGATGGCTCATCCCATGCCAGGGCTGGGGGCACGTGCCGCTTCAAATACAAAATCCGAGTCCTCCTTCCTGCTTTCTCCTTTTTGAGGAAAGCTTTTGCAAACCAGAAGCCAAGAGACAGGTTTGTTTTTGCTCGCGTTCTGTCACTTTGACGGTTGAGACAGTCACATTGAAATGCAAGAAAAAAAAATGCAAAAGCTAAAAGCAGATTATGCTTCTGGCATTTCGCTTCCTATTCATCAACAACTAACCAGAAGCTGTCGTAATTTCTGTTGCTTCACACATGCTCCGGTCCCCAAATTTTGGCAGCACCTAGGAAAGACTTCTAGGAAAGCAGCTTTACCATCAGAAATGCCTTTTGCGAGAAAGAAGTCGTTAATGCAGACAGGACCAGGGCCGGCTCTCTGAGAGCAGGAGGTTCCCCAATCCTCCCTGCATCCTGCAGAGCAGACAGCGCCGGGCTGTGCACAGCAGATACCTTACAGCTAGACACTTGCCTCCTGGATCCTTGGCTTGGTGCGGAAGAGGAGCCTCAACATCTCCAGTGCTTTAGGCTGCTATTCTCCCATAGTTTGCAAGCTGGCTTCTGAACCCAGAGCTCTCTGCAGCGCCCAGACTGCCACGAGAACCCCAAGTAGTAGTTACGTCACTGGGATGTATTTTGGGAGTTTTGCTGAAAGGAAACTGCGGTTTCATGTGGGGAAATTGCACTGTGTGGTGATGGCTGCACAGCACCATCAACTCAACGCGAACACCAGATGACTTCTGGGTGCTCTGTCATGGCTCTTTCCACCAGCAAATCTCAGCAGGCTTTCTAAGAGGACACGTACTGTGGTCCCACGTCACAGACAGAGCAACGTGAGGCAGCATATAGCAGCTGAGCCCCTTCAGCCCTAAAGTTACACTGCTCTTCTTCTGAGCGGCACAAACGCTGTTTCCAGCATCAGTCCCCCAGTGCTGGATTGCAGCTCTCCAGGAAAGGGGTCAGAAGGAGCTGTTTTCTGCCTCTGCTCCACACTGGAGTCTCAGCTCGGCCACCTGCATCCTGCTGCATCAGGGCTTTTAGAAACTGCTGTGAGGCCCCATGTGAGCCCAGCACACTGACATCTGGTGAGTATTGTGCAATGCTGCCTGCTGGCTTGGGGTCAGCTCCTGCACCATGACACTGCTCTCTGACATGGAGATATCCTGACACAGAAAGGAGGTGAGGAGATGGGAACTGGGAATGCTCATGTGGGGCAGCACAGCCACAGGCCCTGGAGGGGCTGCAGGAGGGCTTCAGTCCTACGGCTCTGAGCCAATCCTCTCCCAGTGTCAGCTTGTAAGGAAAAAAGCGAGCCATGTGCTTACTCCTAGCTCCCTTCAAGAGGCCATCTGCATTTCATCTATGCAAAGTAGATGCCGTATATGGCTTCTTAAGTTACCCAGCTGCTTCACCAGTATCACTGCCATGTATTCACAGGAGCATGCAGTACAGCACAAGAACATGCGACGGGCAGGAGAAAGCCAGGCTGAACCAGCCTTCCCATATCACACTTCCAGAAGATCTGAGTTTGACCTTTGGGGAGATCTCAGCTGCTTGTAAACCTTATTCCATATCAGGTACGTGGTGCTCCCACTGCAGAGCTTGGGGCAAATGGGAAGTAGGAGGTGCACAGGAAAGAAATGCACTTTTTGCTGCTGTGAAGACCAAAGAAGCAGTGGCAGCTCTGTCTGGAACTGTTTTTTTTTTGTTGTTTTTCTTTTAAAGTGGTAGTTCTCAAAAAGGGGAACTTACAAAGCGAAGAAACCTCACCAGCCACTGCCTTCCCTCATGCACAAACCTTATTTGGACAAGGCTGATGGCTGCTGTTGTGTGCAACCAAAGAACTGAGCAGAACCACGTCCGTTTGCCTCTGCTTCTCTGGTGGGTGCCCCCAGGAGCTCTCTGGGAGCAGTCAGGTACATTCCCTGCCCTAGGAACCCACCAGGCAACCATCCCTGCTGCAAGCCAAGGGCTGTCCCTGCCCACAGTCAGCACTGGGCACAGGCTGCCAGGGGCTGAGGAGGCACCAACAGAAGGAATGTGGCCACAAACACACTCAGCCCTTGAGGCAGAAGCCATTTTGATGCAAAAGGAAGCAACAAGTTGGTCACAAGCAGCTCACTGTCTTACTGTCTATCAGCTCCTCAGGGGGGTGATGCTGGTTTCCTGCACAGGACGCTGCACCCCAACACTTCCCAGCATTCCTGCAGCTGCTCCAAGCCCTGCTGGGAGCAGTGGAATGTCACCACATGCCCACACCGTGCCCTGTGCAGCACAGCCATCATATCAACCCCGCACCTCCTATTGCCCTAAGCAGCAACAACAATTTGAAACCACAAGCAGGTCTAAAACCCTTCTGCCTCTTCTCTTCTCTTAGAATCACAAAATCACTGAGGTTGGAAAAGACCCCTAGTATCCATCAAGCCATCACCGCCATGCCCACTGACCACGTCCCCCAGTGTCACGTCAGGAGCCCTGGTGTTTGGGATTGTATTTGTCACCTTAACACATAAACTAAACAGTCCACTTTTACCCTGTTTGGTATTCAGAAGGAGCAGTTCCACCCATGTTTTTTTTTTTGTTGTTGTTGTGGTGTTTTTTTTTTTTTTAGTGGGTGCTTTCTTTTAGCACAGCAGAAGTTCACTTCTTTTGTATGCCAGAAAACGATCCACACCTCCTTCTGTGGAGGTGGAGGGAGAAGTAACAGGAAGGAAATGCTGCAGAATCCTGGAGGACACAAATAGATGTTGGTGCTCCTGGGCAACAAGAGGAGCAGCAGGAACAGTGTGGGACCTCTGGCAGGGCAGTGGGCAGCAGGTACCAGGGGTACAGCACAGGCTGTCCTGTGCCATTGTGCTGTGCCACTGTCCTCTCCCATTGCCACGTCCCACTGCGGGATGCAGAGGGAGGAAGGCAGTGGGCTCCCCGGGGCCAGCTGGGCACACTCCAGCAGGTGGCACTCAGAGCTTCTGCAAAGTCCTGAACAAGCAGGAAGGGCTCATTTTGTAACCATCTGTGGAACAGACGGCGCCCCGAAATGGGGGGTTAGGAACTGATAGAGGGATAAAGCCTGAGGCAGAAGAAAGGAAGAGGTAGAAATTGGCCATGGCAAGGCAAGCCATGCTCTATAACGTCCCCATGCATCCGCTCAGCTGGTTCTTGACTCATTGGAGCAGGAGCACCAAAACATTGGCCCGTTGCCACGTTTTTCTAAACGCAGAACGTTACCCTTAGGAACCAGCACTGAGGCACGACCTGAGCGCGCTGCGCAGCCATGCTGCCCTCACACAAAACATGCAGGCTCTTTCTGGCTGAATCTGAGAACACAGCACTGCTTTCACCATGAGCTGTTTGCTGCCCCTGGAGCTGTCGTGGGATGTGGAAACTATTCTATCACGTTGATGCAGGAATTCCACATTCCTCCCACCACGCAGGCTGTGAGGAGCTTTCTCCTTACAATATGTGCAAGAAGACAGCACATTTTCAGACTGCCTCTTAAGCAGCTTCTTTCCCCCCCTGTGCTTGCAGAGCACCAAGCATCGCTCTGCCTGCACGCAGCAGCAGCAGCCCCACACACCCAGCACAGAGCCAACCTGGCTCAGCGCACCTCCCTGTGTGCACACACCCAGCACACTGCAACCAGCCCAGCCAGAGCAGTGCAGTGAAACACACCTCTTCTGACAGCAAGGAAATCGATAGCACCCCATCTCAGAGCGCTTATGGAGCACAAAAAAATTCCGTTCAGCCAGTTCAGTGTTCCCAGACCTGTGTTAGAAGCTGTGCTGCTTTCAAGTACAAACAAGGGACAAGCGCTCTCATTTTTGGTACCTGAAGGTGAGGACTTTTCCCACACGGCACAAAGCTCATTCCTTTGAACTTTGGTGGGCAAATGGATGACACGGGTTTCCTCCATATGGCAAAAGAGGTTTTGTGTAGTTGTTTTTTTTTGCCAGTAAAGAGGCTTCTGGGAGATGGACCTTGCGGCAATTTCTATTAATCAATGAGGTGGATTGGAAATGGAAGAGGAGAAAGCAGAGCAGAGTTCTGATCGGTCAGATATCAATGTGCAGGAGGGCCATTCCCAGCCCTGCCTTCCTCACATGCACTCCTGCAAAATGACCCCTCTTCAATTATTCATTAGAGCCTGCAACTTATCAGAGGCTCTGCTTCTCAAGCAGGCATTTCGTTGCTGTGTTTTTAAGGAGCTCAGACACTTGCTGTTAACCATCGCCTGCCCCGCTGAGCACAAAGAGCTGTTGGGCACTGCACTGAAAACAAAACCACTCGATGACTTCAGCTGGCATCACAGAGCAGCCAGCTCGGCCCAGAGCTCCGCCACTGCCAGGCTGAAAGACTACACATGGAAAGATGCAATCCCTGCAGCCGGGCCAGGAGGGTTTGCAGGCAGGCTGTGCTGTTCTGCACCCAGGGCTCAGGGACGCAACCAGCAAGAGCACACTTTGCTACGCAGCTGGAAGGAACAAGGAGGGGCACTGGGCAGAGGATGCCTTTGCTGAGATACCTGTCTCCTCCCACACTCAGCAGCTTTCTGACTCTTGCAGAAAACTGCAGCAGCTGTGCAAACACAGCAGGTTGCTGCTTCAAAGAAGAGTGCTCCGTTTGTTTGTTTTAAAACGCTTCTCGTGAAGAGGCTGCAATTGGAGCCATATTCTGTGTGAGGATCCCTCCGCCACCCTCCTGTTGGTGCTCAGCCTCCAGCTGGAGGTCCCTGCGGTGCTGAGCGCACAGCTGGGCAGAGTGGGCTGCTGGAGAGCACAGCTGTGACCAAGCACCAATGCACTACGCTGCGATGGAGCCCCTTGTGCTTGGCATGACAGCAACTCCCTGCTCCTGTCTCAAAGGTCTCTTTTATGGCATAAAGCAGAGCTGGAAGAGGTTACTTATTCACCTCCCCAGGTTTCACTGCGCGCTGTGATTATCACCCAAGAACAAACTGCTCAGTGCTCCCAGCGTTACCTCCAGAGAGTGGGCACACTCAGTGCTGTAAATCCACTCCTCTGCTCTTCATTATGAAGTGATTTCACTAATTGGGTGCTGTACTTTCATGTACAATTCCTCACACTCAGCACCTTCGGGGAGAACGTGCTCACCCCTCAGCAAAGCTGGCTGTAAAACCCCAATGATGACAGGTTCTGTTTTTCCACTCAATTTGAGCCCTCTGTTGCCATTCGCAGCTGAACAAGGACCGATCTTCAGCCTACCTGACAATTAAATCTAGAGAACATAAGAGAGAATGAAGTTTGGTCCCTGGAGAGCAGCGCATGGCACTGGCAATTAGCCCCTGGCACAGAGCAGCCCTGGGAGCAAAGCAAGAGACCTTCTGCTGCGCTGGGGAAGTTGCACTGAAACTGCGTCAAGGGCACTGCTGATGGCTGAAAGCCAGTGCCGAATTGTTTGAACACCACCATCAACAGGGAGAAAAGCAAAAGCAGACACACTTGCACCCATTTTGTCCAAAGTTCTCCTGCTCAATGCAGTTGGATCAGCAATCCGGTTCTAGGGATGCTGCCAGGAGTGCCTGGCAGACTGCAAACTCTTACAGTGGGAACAGCCAGATAAGCAAGGCATTAGCAATGTAGGATGTTGTCAGGTGAGGGTTTGGCTTGGAAATCCCAGTGCCGCTCTGCTGGAATGCTGCTGGGATGGCTCTGACCACGCGAGATGGGGGCAGTCACTCCAGATAATGCTCTGCACGACCTGTAGGATCTTGCAGGCGTTTCCAAGATACTCAGATGAACACAGTGAGGTACAATGCTTGCAAGGACTTGCGCACCACGGCTGTTCTTGAAAGGTGGGAATCCATGCAGGAATAGAAGCCAGGAGTTGTGAAATGCCCGAGCTGTCTTTGGAAGGAGGCTGAGGGCTGCCCAGCTGTTCCCAGACCACAGGCAGCCAAGCCCAGACCTCCTCTCCTTTCATCTGCAGTAATCTTTCTGCTGTGCTTCATACCCAAAAGCCACAGTGCACAGCAACAGCAGGTGGGATGGGAGGGAGAAGATGAAGGTGTCAGAGCCCTGTGCCGCCAGCTGCCAAATTCCCAACTCTTTTGAGGAACCCTGGGATTTCCTTCGTGTTTCTCTGGTTCTTGCCCAAGCAGATAAAGGTTTTGTTTCTGGCAGCATCCCGCTGACAGGGACAGAGGGAGGGATGGCACTTCGTGTGGGCGCTGAGGAATCTCCACTGTTGCAGCTTCTAGTTATTTTTAGCAGAGATCACAGAATGAGCCACCAAAGGATGAAAGCACAAACCCAACATGGAGTGCCTCCTGCACCCCAGCTCGAGAAGGGCAGCAGCAGAGCTAGAACAGACGGGTATGGGAGAGACCCTGAGCAGCTTTCCTCTCACAAACACGTAGCCTCAGGTGTTTGCTGCTGTTTTCTTCTCCTTCTTTAGTCCTTGCTGTAGGTAAGAGGAGGCAGTGCCACAATCTGCTGCTGACGTCAGCTCCCAAGCAAACAGAAAAACAGAGATACTGAGTTTGCTGCCTGCTTGCTTCCCCATCCAGAGCGCCAGAGCTGGTGCAGAGTGCCAGAGTTAAGTGAAAGGTATGTGTTTATAGCAGGGATTTCATTTGTCTTCGTGCCTGTAGAACGTACACCTTGTACAAACTTGGAAAACGCACCAGAGGTTATTTCAGGAGGACTCTGCATTTAAAAATGACTGAAAATGGGGTTGTCGGCACAGCACACGGACACAGCAACTCAGCAGAGGGCAAAGCAAGATGCTGGCACCCACAGTACCAGGAGGGCAGTTCAGCCAAGTACTTGATGATCAAAGAGGCAAACGCTCAAGCCTTAGAAGCCCAGCTGGAACCCAACCACAAGAGACAGATATTCTCTTCCATGCCAGAGATGTGGGAATGGTGAGGAACCATATAGCCATCATCTCAGGGGAGAGGAGTGCACAGTGTCGTTGATCTGAGCTCATCCAGCTTTCCTGTGATGGGGTGCCAGTCCATCAGCCAGCCCAGAAGGGCAGAACAGGTGGCTGAGATGTAACAACAGCGCTGGAAGTTCAGTGTAAGTTTCTGGAAAAGGACAAGCTGAGAAGCAGCCAATTGGATTCGGCTTAAATTTCCTTTACTAAATGTGTAACGGTGACCAACTGGGAAAGCATTGCCATAACTCTCCAGGTCCCTCAGCACGAACAACAGACCAGGGTGCTTGCTGTGAGGAGCAGGACAAGCTCCAGACAGTCCATGCAGCAAGGGCTCCCAAGCCAAAGCAAACACGCAGCATTGCTCCCCATAGCTACAGCATGTGTGCATCAGAGAAGGAAATTCTGAAGGGCTTCTGCTTTTGAGGCACTGAAATGGCCTGAAACACTCCAGCGATTCTCACCTGAGCCCTCTGCTCTGGCTGCTGTCCCACTCCAGTGTGCTGCTTCCCGGCAGTGCTTTGGGATGGCCCAGGTGAGTTTGGATAACCGAAGGGGTGGGGAAAAGAGGGTCTGCCTGCTCTCCTCCCCCACTCTGGCCCCCCATGCTCCAGCACGCACTCATCCAGATTACAAAGCAGCAGCTTACAGGATTTAAAAATAGCCGTCCTCAGCCCATTCACCCGCCAGCACACACTGCATGCAGCTCAGAGTGACGGTGAAGGACTCGGCCCCGCTGCGGTTTTACCTTGCACGGAGGGTTCCCGCCTTCCTCTGGAGCAGCCTGCCCATTCTGCAAAGGAAGAGAACCCGCTGTTAGCACACACCAGGCACTGGCACTGCCTCTAAGAGCATTCCAAACGGGACAGACTGGGGATGCCACTTTCAGATGGGGTATGGAGCACTCTCCACGCATCCAAAAGATGCAGCAAAGGATGAGGCAGGGAGAGCAAAGCAGTGCCAGAGAGCGGTTTGCAGACTCACAGCCATTTTGCTCTACATCGATTTTAATGCGAGATTTTAGTGGTTATTTATTACCATATCACAGCTGATAACACTCCTTTCCTGGAGAAGCAATGGGACATCAACCTGACATCAACCTGACATCTGCCCTAGGAGCACGAGTGCTTATGGCTGACAACCGGCATGAAGGGACAGCTCTGCTGCAGAGGCTCAGAGGAGTAGAGCCCCAGTGTTTACATGGAGCTATTGGTGCATCAGCACAGAGAATAGCTAAGGAGTGAATCAAGATTTTGTGTTTATGTATATCCTCCATGAAGAGCTGAAGATAGCCAGACTTGGAAACACGCTTGTGTTTACTGGCTCAGATGTCACCCATCAACAATTATTAAGTCACTGCTAATCAAAACCATAGCGCTGGGAGGGCTTTTATGTCCAAAGCAGCTCGAGTCCCACGAGGAGCAGAACCTCTGTGCCAGACAGAGCAGCGCGTGGCACACAGCTGGGAGCAGATCCACGTGTCAGCAGAGCGATGCTCCTAGAGATGAAGTCCTAATGTGACCGCCATGTTCTCCAGCTGACGTTGGGCAGATTGGTGAGAACTGCAGTTTGGAGCCAAGGGCTTTCCTTCTACCCAGAGAAAAAGCAGAGCCTTTATGTTCTCGTATGGGATCCAAGAGCCACTTGGGAGCACCCAGGATGGAAGAGCAGCCTGGCAGCAGGGCACAGTGCTCAAGGAACAGCTCCACATGTGAGGAGGGGACACAAAGTGCTGCTCCACACACTGCTCTCAGAACTTTTCTTAGAGGCAGCAGAGGAGTGCACTAAAAAGAAGTGCACTCCGTTGCGTAACCGCCAGCATGGCTGAACTTCGAGATATTTCTCTTAGGACATCTTGCATTTTAAATCCCTTTAATTCCACGTAATCCGAAGCATGGGGAGGAGCAACTTACAGAACAGGGCACCGCTGCTCTGACACATAATGAGGACAAGTGTCAGGGCGGGCAGCACCACACGGGCCGTGTGCTGCTATCAGTGCTGCCAGCAAACACTGCCCCGCAGCACCGGAGAAAGGACATAACTGCAAAAACAAACATCTCCAGCCCTTCCCTCCAGAATTCCTCACACACAGGGAGTCAGAGCTCAAAGTGCATCACGGACAGAAGTCTCTTCCTCCCCTATCTTTGATCATCGCTGTCTTCATTTTTCAGCTAAGGTGCACACAGAAGAAGACAGTTACTCGTGAATAGCTTCTGCTCAAAAAGGAATGAGCAGATGCATATACACAGGCAAAAATAATTAGCTTGAAGTGGTTGGGTTTGTCGTAATCCCACGTCAGCTGCGTTGCTCTGTGTTTGTAACACGACAAGAGTTCAAAGGCACAGCCGTGATGGCAGCTCCCATCACTACGGCAATGCAGTCATTCAGCTCCGCTCCACCACTGGTGCTCTGCCCCACACGGGTTTTTCATAACACATAAGCAAATTCCAAATGGGCAGAAGAAAGAGCAGGGAAAAAAAATAAAATAAATGAAATGAATGAAATCATAGAATGGCCTGGATTGAAAAGAACCACAATGCTCATCCAGTTCCAACCCCCTGCTGTGTGCAGGTCACCAACCAGCAGACCAGGCTGCCCAAAGCCACATCCAGCCTGGCCTTGGATGCCTGCAGGGATGGGGCATCCACAGCCTCCTTGGGCAACCTGTTCCAGTGCCTCACCACCCTCTGATGAAAAACTTCCTTCTAATATCCAACTTTAAACTCCCCTGTCTCAGTTTAAAACCATTCCCCTTGTCCTATCACTATTCATCCTCATAAACAGAAGAAAGGAGCACGATGAAGTGAGCTCAGTCCCCAGGACGGCTCACTCTCCCACTGCTTTCCCAGCACAGCTCTGGGACAGTGGCTGCTGGCTGTGACCGGCGCTCAGCAGCTGCTCCTGGAGAGCAGTGGAAAAACCCCCAGTCTGACACACTGGGTCGGGTGCCTCCGCAGCACAGTGCCAGCACCTCTGCTCCATGACTCAGAAAGCAAAGGTTGGAGGAAGCCGGCTTTACACCTCAATGGCAACGATCCCAGGCGATTTACATAACGCATTCCAGAAAAGTCTCTTCGGTCTCTCTTTGGTGCCACCCTGCCCCGCAGAAGGTAAACCTTTCTGCCCCTGGCAAACAGAACCTCGCAGTTTGCAAAACTCCCACCAAGTTCCTCTCTGCCATTCACAGGTCGTGTCGGTTCCGGGTGCCGGCAGCCGGGCCCAGAGGTGCAGAACTTCTGCCCGTGCTGCCGAGAGCACCGCTCACCTGAAGCCCGAGGGAGCGGAGCTGCTGCCGTCCCACCTGGCACAGCACTGAGATATGAAGTGCCTGCCAGCACTGGCACGCCGTTCCCGACCCCGCCGCCGACCTCCAGCCCGGCCAAAGTGAGCTGGGGGAAGTCAGCCTGCGGCTGCAGTTTACACATTACACGTCCATGACTAATCCAACGGGGAGCGCAGCCCTCGCTGCTGCCACGATCCTTCGGAGGGACTCCGGCTGATGAACGCAGCGCCCCGTGGCCGATTCCAGCCAGGGGAGAGGTTGTGGTGTTGGCACAGCTGCTACCCAGCACCCGGAGCTCCAGGATTAAGTGACACACTGATCCTGCCCTTGGCATCTATTGCCCCAGGCACCAGCATTAGTTTCCTCCCGCTCCGAGTTTGTTTTTCAAATCACAACTAAACTCCAGCTCTCACCCCCCAGCACACCCAACTTTCCCTGAGCACATTATGGCCTCAGGACCACGACCCGGTCCCTGCAGGGCCCAGGCACATCCCCACACCCCAAGTGGAGCTGAGTGCACAGCACAGGGTACAGCCGCCCACCCCCCCACCTGGGCAGCTGTGACAGCTGGGCAACCCGGCCTCTGTTCCCAGCAGAGCTTCTTCAAGAGACAATTTTAAGTGGGAATAAGCGAATCTGACCGATTAACCATTGTAACACCCCTAGGCGTGATAGGACGGGTAAGAGGCACGGGACGGTTTAAAACGGGAGAGCAGCGAGAAGTGAGCAAAGCGGGATGAAACCCACATGAACTGCAGCTGGGCTGTGTTTGTGCGCGCACCTCGGCTGCCCTACAGCGGAGGAAAGGCTGCGAGAGGTCCCGACGTTCCGCGGCGGCTGCGATGCAACGCGCGGTGCGGGCAGCGCACACCTGGGCTGGGGGGGGCCTCGTTAAGAGCGAAGCGCACGCATCCGGCGGAGAGACGCAGGACGGCGGCCGGGGGAAGCGGGAAGCCCCCAGCGCAGAGCCGTGCTCGCATTCGCCGCTCGTACCGAGGAACCGAAGGGAAGCAGCGCAGCCGTCAGCCCGGCAGCTCCGAGCGATTCACCGCGCCGGAGCGCTTCCCAACCCCGCGGGGCTCAGCCGGAGCAGCGGGGCAGGAGCAGAAGGAGGGAAGGAAGGAAGGAAGGAAGGAAGGAAGGAAGGAAGGAAGGAAGGAAGGAGGGGGGGAAGGGAGCGCTGCATTGATGCGCGAGGCCGCTGGGGTCGCCGCCCTCCACCCCGCTCACCTCCGTGTCCAGCTGCACCATCTCCATGTTGGGCCAGGGCTCGGCCAGCTGCGCGAGCGGCATGCTGGCGGCGGGCAGCCCCGCGGGGCGCGGCACGGCTCGGCTCGGAGCCCCGCGCTGGGCACCGGCTGCCCGGGCCGGGCCGGGAGCGGCGGGGCGGGGCGGGGGGCGGTGCGGCTCCGCCCGGCTCCGGGGCGGCCCCGAGCTGCTCTCCGAGAGCCGCCGTTCCGCTGCGCTCGCTGCCCTGGGCGGTCCGCTGCGGGCCCCCCCGCTCTCCGGTGCAGAGCCTTTCCCCGAGCACCGCCTGACCCCCCGCCCCGCGCCGTTCCTTCGGGCAGCGACGTTGGTTGAAGGACGGATCGTTTGTGTACATCCACGCGCACCTTTGGATTCTTCGGTAGGAGATGAGGCGCTGCTCGAATACGGATAACAAATCCCTACCCGCCTCGGGGTTCTCTGGGATGCTCGGAGGAAAGGTCTTGTAAGCACGGCTGCTCAAAACACACCCAGCGCTGTTTGCATTTGCCAGGTTTATCATGCAGGAGTTGTTATCTTCTCACTTTTACTGAAATCCAAAGCACCGTGTTTTCAGATTTCTGTTTAAAATGATTTGTCATTAAAAAAAAAAAATGGCAAAGGGTGCATTGCTAAGGGCTGACTTCACCAAGGTGTGGCTGAAATATCTTTTAACGAGCTGAAGGGAAAGCACAGCATAGCTCTACTGTTGCATTCTGAGTCCCATGAAGCCTCCCTGTCTGCCCCGAATGCCATGAGCTGATCAGAGGTGGTGAAGGTGAAGAAAGCTGAAGTAGGACAGAGTGCAGCATGTTGAGAAATTCCAGTCGATCTTCGAAACGCTCAGCGCTGATCTGTAAGCCATCATCAGGGCCATCTTGTTCACATGTGGGGAATCCTACGTAAGAAATTCCCACGGTGACAGAAAGTGTGTGAGCCCAACACTGCTGTCTGTGCTCAGAGCACCCGTCTGTGCCGTAAGCGCCAAGTCGCAGATGAAGGCATTAAATAACACAGATCCACCAGGCTGGTGCTAAGCGAGGCCAATTAAACTGATGTCACTTACTGTTGGAGCAAGCTGAAGCAGATCTTGCGGAGCGTTATTCATTCAGCTCCAAAGCTGTCCGTAATTTTCCCCTTATTGCTCGGTACATGGCGTGCCGTCTGCTCGCATCCCTCCTCCAGCTGCTGCAGATTGCAACCTGTTTTAAATGGCATCGATAACATGATGATGTCAGTGCTGGCATCCTGCTTACCTTCTACACTTGTTTGCAAAATACAGCTCCTGTTCCAGGTTTCCAGCTGCTCTGCATGCATCCCGACCAGGTCCGGGCTGGGAATGCATAGAGGAGTGTGTGTAGGAAGGAGAACAAAATGAGACACTGCTCTCGGTGACCTGCTGTGCTTTCATGCCAAGTCCCACAAAGGTGACCTTTCTGTGCCACATCCTGCGGCACTCCCAGCTCTGCTGCCTGGGGGGCGGTGGAGTTCCCGTCCCTGGAGATGTGACACTGAGGGGCACAGTGGGGGTGGGCTGGGGCTGAGTGCTGGGAGGTGAAGGAAGGAAGGAGGGAAGGAAGGAGGGAAGGAGGGAGGGAAGGAAGGAAGGAGGGAGGGAAGGAAGGAGGGAAGGAAGGAAGGAGGGAGGGAAGGAAGGAGGGAAGGAAGGAGGGAGGGAAGGAAAGGAGGGAAGGAAGGAGGGAAGGAAAGGAGGGAGGAAAGGAGGGAGGGAAGGGAAGGAGGGAAGGAAGGAAGGAGGGAAGGAGGGAAGGAGGAAGGAAAGGAAGGAAGGAGGGAAGGAAGGAAGGAGGGAAGGAGGGAGGGAGGGAGGGAGGGAGGAAGTTCTGCATCCCCGCATCCCCCTAGGAGGTCTACAGAAATGCAGAAAGTCCTTGGTGTGTTGCAACAGGATGCCAGGCAGGCTGCCCCGGAGCTCGGCTAACGCAGGAACTGTGAGGCTTTATGGAGCAGTGACGTCCTGCTTGGAGAAATGGAGAGCTCTACACCCATGGGTGCCATTGCACCGAAACAAAGGACTATCCTGCCCATTCTTTTCATACAACAGCGAACTAAAGATACTGGGGAGACTACAAATAACTTGTGCATGTCTACTCCCTGCATCTGTGCAGCTACTTTGGTTAAAGTCCAGCAGAGAATTTTGCTGAAGAAGCTCTAGGGAACCCACAAAGTTACAGAAGCATCCCCCAAAAGACCAGGCAACAGTACAGCAACTCAGCAGGGCTGGGTGGGCAAGCTGGGCCTCTCAGTCCCCACCTATGGCACTCAGAGCAGCAATGCTATCGATTTGCAGACTGACCTTCCTTCAATAACTGCGACTCGAGTGCAGGAGATGAACAGGACGTGACACGTGTCACTGCTGTCTGGGTGAGCAAAATGAGGTGGTGGACCCTGGTGTTTATTTTCTAGCCAAAGAGCAGCTATAAAAGCAATCTCCACCCTGAAAGCAGGGTACAAGAAATGCTCTGCCTGCTCTTTGGGTAAGCAGCTAAACACAGTGATTAAAACCTATGTGCTGACACTTTGGAGAAGGCTGCTGAGCAGGATTTCTGCACTGCCATGTAGACTGCTGCTATGAGAAACAGAGTCCTCCAGCTAACCAGAGCCCCGCTAACAGTATCACATTCAGTGAGAATCCAAAACGCTGAAATGTTTGGTTGGTTTCGTTTAAAAAGAATTAAATCCTCCTCAAATACAGTGGTAGCTGCATTTTGCTTTGCAAGCTGGCTGGCTTTTGGTTTGTAGCATTCTCCTCTTCGGAGAGGCTGGCAATGTTTGTTAAGCCCACTGTCCCCAAGGAAGCCCTTCCAAGGCAGAAGTAGTGAGGCTGGTCCTTACCCACACAACCAGAGGCTGATTTTAACTGCTTACACTGAAAGATGTGGCAGTGATTCTCCACCCAGCTGTGCAGTGCTCCCACAGCTCACAGCATCCATTTGTTCCTCCTGGAGCCAGCGAGCATCTGTCTTTAACTGTGGGCTTCATGCTACGCTGCTTTTACACATATAAGGAGATGCAAAGAGATTGCAGGCATGAGAACACACAAGCCGAATCCCAAATGCCTGCTGCAATTTACAAAGACTCTTGAAATCTGCTTTATGTATACACTCAGAGGGCCGTTTAATTAGAATTTACAGCAGCCTTCTTTGCATTTTTAAGATTCACTCATCAGTTCATTGTTAACCCTATCACTAATAGGGAAACTGAGTCGTGTTTTCAATAGCTCATCAGGACAGAACTTGAACTCCACGTCCTGTCTTTTAATGCCCAGCTCTCTGTTCAGGCTCTCATTTCCTCACCTCTTCTGCTTTGTTTTTCCAGTGTGGAGGAAGAGATGATAAATCACCTTGTTTTGATCCCAGGGAGACATTTTTCCTTACCGCGGTTCAAACATCACACTGAAGATATAAAGCAGGAGCCCTGCAAACGAGGAGCTCTGGCTGGATTCAGCAGCAGAATTGCTTTTCCCTTTTGTGACAGATTTCTTCCCGATGCTCACTGCTGTGCACTGCCTCCCATGGCAGCGTTCTCCAGGGCAGGTCTGGAATACAGGAGGGACACTCCAGCAGGTGTGGGGCAAGGAACTCCTCGGGGACTGCAGTGCAGGCAGCTCTCCTCCCAGAAGAATACGTGCAGACTGAAGCTCTGCTCAGTGAACAACATGTTTAACTTCTACCAACGCTTCCAGCAGAGGTGAGCATCGTGCTGCCTCGCTAAGCTCACTGAGTCCTGCATTTGTTAGGGTGGCTGGCATATCTGAAATACTTTCGGGCTGCATGCTGCATTTTGCCTGCGTCTGTACGGTGTGCCTGCAAACCACGACTATCCTCCATAGATCAGATTTCCTGAAGCCTCCTTTGGGGCTGCCAGGGAGCCCTTGGCAGAAGCAGATACAACTCATGTTGGGGAAGAGTTCTGCTGATGGACACAAGAACTGATTAAGCTGTTGCCACATTTCATTTGGAAATTTGGCAGCTATCTCTCAGGAACACTGAACTGCACCAAGGGGCGCCTCAAGGAGAGGGACCCATGGGAGCTGGGAAGGCAGAGGAGGCGACCAGAGAAGAGCTGGCAGGCAGGAGGGCCGTATCTGCTGGTTGTCATGGATACAATCACCCCGGCGGTCTCCCTGATATCAGTTACCTTCCGTTTCTTGGATGCAAATCAATGAGTGGGGGGTCTGATCCTGCTTCTGTGCAGAACAGAACGCTTCACATTCAAACAAAAGGAGCAAGCTGTCTGTTGCAAACCTGGACACGTCTTCTTAACACTGGCTAAGAGTGGAAGGTGACTTGTTCCTTTGGCATTCCAACTATGCGACCTGATCACGCTCTGACCAATTCCATTCGGTGCTGCCGCACACCAGGAGCTCAGAGGAGCTGCTCCAGGCCGTTCAGCTCAGCTCAGCTCAGCCTTTCCGTGCATCGCAAGCTGCCGTGCAGCGCTTGTCATCAGCTCTGCTGCTCTGAGCTGAAGGCAGGCACACAGCCGGGCACTCTTGGATGCCAGCAGCTCCAGGTCTGGAAGAAGAACTGAAAAAGACATTCACAAAAAGCCACATAAAACCAAGCAGTTGCTTTATTTTTCCTTTGAGGGAGATTTTTAAAGCAGGTGTACAGCATATGCAGTAAGCTACTCAGTGTGAGCAATGCTTCGGTACCTTTTGTTTTTAATTAGCATCTGGATGTGTTTGTAGTTAATTTCACTGCAGCTATTCGAGGAACCGACAACATGAAAGAGAAAACTCTGAGAAACTGTAAACAGAAGGGAAACCGTCCGGCCTGTTCTTGTTGTGCCCCAGCCAGGGAGAAAGATGAGTGAGCAGAGCTGCTGTGTGCAGCCCGTCCCTACCGTTCTTTGGGGTTTAAGAATTTGCAAGGCAATGAGGGGTCCTTTAAGTGCATACAAATAGATCCCCTCTGCTTCATGTGCCCACAGAACAAACGGAGCTGTGCAGATCGCGGTTTCTCCAGACAGGGAAGGGGAATCTGGCAAGCAAAACCACATTTCAACAGAAACCCAGCTTTGGTGAGAGGAAAGCGTCACTCCT